TAAAGTCCATTCCGAAATCTGGATGTGTAAGTTCTTCTACTTTGTTAGTCCCTTTCAAGATTACTGTAGCTATTTGGGGTCCCTCAAAATTCTGTATAAATTTGAAGATTGCTTTCCATTATTGCAAAAAACAAATTCTGTTGAAATTTTGATAGGGTAATGTATAGATCACTTTGGGTAGTATTGACATCTTAACAATATTAAATCTCTCAATTCATAAACACAAGGTATCTTTCTATTTATTTAAATCTTCTTTAATTTTTTTCAGCAATGTTTTATAGTTTTCAGTGTACAAGTCTTTTACCCCCCTGGTTAAATTTATGCCTAGGTATTTTGTTCTATTAGAGGCTATTTTCACCCCAAGTGTTTTCCAAGTCCCCTTTGCCATCTATTGAGATTGAGATAGTGATAGCCCTGTGCCTTTCTCCTCCTTGTCCTGTCAATGAGCATTTTGACTGTGTAGGTCTAGTGAGCCCCTTCCCCTACACTATTATTCACTGTCTCTAAGAACTCATGTCTTTAGTACTCTGGGGTGGTGCTGGTCTCAGGGCCAGGCAGCCACAATAAGGCTTTGGGCCAAGGCTAAGGAAGCTTTTGAAGAAACCACCCTCTTCCATCCCAGAGGCAGGACTATGAACTCAGACACTGGTCACTGGCCTCTGGCCAGAACATTTCCAATGGGCTTCTCCTAGCTCAGGATAGTAACAGCCAGGAAGGGCAGGGTTTATATAGGGGATGTGCCCACAGAGACCTTCAGGTGCCAAATGGGGAACAAGGGCTAGAGCCTGGGATGATCTCATGGTCTCTCCCTACCAATCCCATCTGATCCTATGCATGCCTGTAGGGTTAGCATGACCTCTCACCTGAAGTCCAGGTCAAGTCAGACTTTACTCTGATGTATGCCCAGAGAGCTCCATCTAGGGGCATGCTGGGTGCCAGGGAGTGGAAAAATCAGTTCCCTCTTCAAGGAGTTTGGCACCCCATGACGCCTTTCCTTGGCCCCTACCTTCCCTCCAGGTCTTATGTCTAGAAGGGACATTTCTCGAGGGCCTACCTCTCCTGCACCTCAGTTTTGTCCTGACTTCTAGGCTGGGTATCACTAAAGAGGGAGCCCCTCTCCAGGACACACCAGGGCTGATGTCATCCCTGAAGGCTACACCCTGACTCTTCACAAAAGTAGTTTCTGTTTACATAGTCCAGGCCCCACCTACACAAAAAAAGCCAACACTGCTGGTTTGGAGAAGCTTGTAAGACTGTTGAAGCAGAAAACAAGGCTAGATTGGTTAGGAGAGTGAAGAAATGACTCTCAACCGTAGATGGGGCCAGAGAGAACAATTGAAGATTGGTGTGCCAAGGTGGGACTTCCTGATTTCAACCCCTGAGACCCTGGCCCTTGGGAACTTGTCCTAGGGGCTAGCCCCAATAAGGCAGGAGCATTTGAAGCTCCTGCTGGATATCTTGCCTATGCTTAAAGGCACTGAGGACTCTGCCATCAGTGTTGAGGCCCTAGGAAGCTCAGGGCACTTGGGTGATGAGGGCTTTGGTCTTTAGGGGTGCCTCGACCTGTCTGTATTTTCAGGGAAACACAGAGCAACCAGAGGATCTTGGGGTTATGGGAGAAGGAGAGGGCCAGTGCCCAGTTCCCAGGTGAAACAACCAGCTGCCCTCCCGTGACTGCCTATAGACCTGTACCTGTCCCCAGCTGGCAAATTTGGCACCATTTCACGTCAGTGTCCAAGAGCTGTGATAGTTTTCTGCCACCTGGCTCAAGCCCTGAGCCAAGTGCAAATGTCCCCCTCATCTCATCTATGAAATTAGAGGTCTTATACTAGCTCTGGTAGCATAGTGGCTAAGGCACTTGACTGCTAACCAGAAGGCTGGCGGTTCAAACCCACCAGCCACTCCTCGGAAGGAAGATGGGGCAATCTACTTCTGTAGTGATACTGCCTCGGAAACCCAAGGAGGGGTCGCTATGAGTCGGGTCTGACTCGACAGCACATAACAACAACAACAACAACAAACTGGCTCCCAAACTGGGTTTTGGGGTACTGACACATGGAGTTGCCAGGAGTTAAAGTGCAACTGGTTTACTGGTTGACCAAGAAGGGCCTTTGGTCATAGCCGTGGAGACATGCTGACCTCTCACCTGAATCACAAAACCCTAGGGTTAATTTTGACCTGTGTCCTCTCATCTGGTGCTGCTTGAGCTATGTAACCCCACTCTTTTGTGTTGGCCCCATGGCACAAGTGGGAAGACTGAGGTCCTGGTCTTCTAGGTAAAGGTCAGGGATTCTGGGTGGAGTTCAAACTGGTGGTGGGACTTTCTGCTTATGCCTCTGAGGGTCTCAGATTGTGTCTGGCCATCCTACCACACCATGCACACATGCATGAGCAAGAACACTTAGGCACACACTTGTGTACTGCAGCTCACAAGCTAAACCCCCTCCCCAAGCATAGCCATGGGCCAGTGTGCACATGTGTGGTGACAGTATGTACACCAGCCTTTCATGCCATGTGCAGTGGGCCCCATTCTTGGGAAGGAAAGAAGACCTATTGTCCCCTACTGTACTTTTCCTGCACAGCAAAGGGGTTCTCCTGCCAACACCCCTGTGGCTGGAGATGCTTCTGCCTTCTGGGTAAGTGGCTGGGAATGAGGTGGGCCTCATCAGTGCCTGGGAAAGGTCCAGAAGGTAGACGATGGCTTGGGTCTTGCCAGGTGGCCCACTCAGAACATGCTGCATCACCAGGTCCCTTCAAGGAAAGTGTCAGTTGGGGTTCCCAAGACAGACTTGGCCAAGCTTCCCGGAGGTCCTGACTGGGGCTGCATCAGAGAGCTCCTCTGCTCCCCCAGACTCCCGCACACGTCTGGTTGGGTTTGGAGCGGTCCCTACACCCACCACCTCCAGGCAGCCCTCCCTGGTGCCCAGCCTGCCCCAACCTCAAATTTTGCAAGGGGGTGGGAACCGGGGGGTCTCGGGGGTCAAAGGTCACCAGGACGGGACGGGTCCCGGAAGCGGAAGCGCGGCGCACTTCCGGCGCGCAGCGGGCGGCCATGTTGGAGCAGCGGAGGCGGCGCAGAGGTGCGTCCTGGGTCCCCGCGGCGGCGCCGGTAGGTTGGGGCCGCGGGCCTAGCCGTGCCGCGGAGTGGCAGTCTGCGGGGCGGCAGGGCGGACGGGCCGGCAAGACTTCCTAGACCTCAGTGCTCCGCCGGTCGGGCCGAGACACCCCACCCCCACCCCGAGTCCAGCGGCCCCACCCTGGCGCCGCGCGGCCCCCGCCGGGCTGGCACCGTCTATCCCGCGCATTCGCCAGCCGCCGGGACCCCTGCCACTAGCCGGGGCTTCGGTCCCAGGGATGCAGACCCCCACCCCGAGGGCCCCGCTTGAGTCGGGCATCTCCCACCTCCTATCTTCTGTTAACTTCCCCTGCCGACTCAGGCGGCACGTGTGAAGGGAAATCGGGGACCCAGCTGCAGTCTGTTCTCAGGGTCTCTTGGAAGGCCTCGAAGACCCCTCTGGAGACTTGGGCGGAAGAACCCCAGCCCACCCCTGATCTGTATGGGGAGGGTGGAGCGGGGAGCAGGCCTCAATCTACCATTCACAGCCCTGAGAGCTACACCCCTTTCCCCAAAAAAATCAAATAAAGAAACTAAAATCACGTGTAAGAATTGTGCTTGGAGATCGGCCTCTGGAGAGGGGAAGTGTCTAAGACACCTGAGGATTCAAGAATGTTTCCAAACAAAGAGCCCCAGGGCACTTTCTCCAGGGGATTCTGAAGACTTTCTCTGCCCCATTAGGGCAGTAGGAAGATGCTGTGCAGACGTACCTCCTAGCCCTCAGGGACTTGCCAGATCCCAACTGATCTTTTAATGCTCCAGAAGCATCGGGGGAGCTGCGTCTTGCCTCTGGGAGCCCTTAAGTGCTGAGTTGGATGTTAGATTAGTCGTGATTGATGGCTCACAGGTTCTTCAGAGAGGTGTGAGACGACTTGGGTGTTCCCAGAGAGCTCCATTTGAACTGTACTGAGGTCTGCTTCTTTCCAAGCTCTAGATAGGGATAGGCATTTGTCTCACCTTCCTACTTGGAGGCTTTGACTCCCATTGTCCTCGGGCCCTAGGCCCTTGATCTGGCTCCCAAGCCACCCCATTGTCTATTGTAAATGGCACCTGCTGTTCCTCAGCTTTCTGTTCTGTTAAAAGAGAGTCTGGCTCTTTTCCCGGGCTTAATCTCTATGACTCTAGGGCTAGGATTTGGGGTACTGAGTGGTCTATCTGGGCACTTCAAAGGCAGAACCTTTGGTGGGCAAGATTTCTCCCATGGGCACCTGAACACCAGCAAGCTAGAGGAACAGCAATAGGCATGATTGGCTAGCATTCAAGGCTCTGCTGCCACACTCTCAACTATTTTTCCATCTGGACCCATAGCCCTGTCCAATTTCTGGCCACACTAGAGTGCTTTACGCTCACCTGTTGGAGCCTTAGCACAAGCTATGCCCCTTTTGGTCCCATTTCCATCTAATCCTGTCCCACTTACCACTCATATCCCAGTTAGGTGTTCTTTTTTCTAGGAATCCTTTCCTGATCCACTGGCAACCTGTGTTGGGTGCCACCATTCATTCCCAAGAAACTGTAATGGTGGTTCTGTCTTGCCTTCTAGCCTGGGCTTTTTGAAGACAGGGATATTCACCTGTGTGCCCAGGGCTGAGTGTAATAGTAGGTTTCTGGCCTCAGAATTACAGAATTGAGTTCAAATGGGGCAGGCTGTGAAATCTTTCCAGGGGCCCAGATAAGTCAGAGGGGTTTGAGGAGTTCTTAGGTATATATCCTAAAGGGGCTGCCTCTGATCCATGGCCAAATGTTAGTGGGTGATACCATGGATAGTGTGGGCCCTGATTGACCTGGCTCCGTATTTCAGTTCCATTCTCATTGACTTTTCCTCTTGCCTTGGAGGTGCTGAGCGCTGGTTTGCAGACACCCAGGCAGATCTGCAGTGCCTAATGCCATGAGCGTGGTGGTGCAGCATGTGGAGGAGAAAGCTGTGCACTCTTGGTCACGCATCTCCACGGCAGGGAAGAAGGCCCTGGAGGAGGCGCTTCTTGTCTTTAACCCCATGAGCCAGGATCTCAGTGCTACAGAGGCCCAGCTTGTGGCTTTCCTACAGGGCTTGCGGGATGATGGCTTCCAACCTACCGTCCTGCGCAGTGGCGATGTCTATGGCTACAGTTCGTGTACAGCCAGCCCCCCAAGCCAGACGAAGCTGCAAGCTCGTGCCCCCACCCCAGCTGCAACATCACCTCCAGCTAGTGCTCCCCGAACTGCCATGCGGCTGCCCGCAGGCCGGGCCACACTACTCCCTATGCCACTTTCTGGCAGGCTCGCCAAAGCATCCACACCAACCCTTGCCAAGCATGCTACTACAAACCTACTGCTGAGTTCCCTGAAGCAGTCAAGCGCCAGCCGGGCCCGGGGTGCAGCAATGGGCTTCCCTGCTCACCTCTATCCAGGTGTCTACCCTGCCATGCGGCTCTCTGTTGTCCTCGAGGCCTTGGTTCCACTCAAGACTCCTGTGCCCTGCTTGGGTGCCAAGCACAAGGCGCAGTCATTGCAACTCTCACTTGCTTCTCCCTTGAAGCTGCGGAAGGGTCCAGGGAAGGGTTCGGGGAACTCCCTGCCCAAGGCTCCCAGAAAAACGACAAGCAAGGGCCCCAAATGTCTGACTCTCAAAGGTCCTAGGGCCAGGTCCCAGCGAGGCACTGGACCCCACAGCAAGACCTGCAAAGCCACTGGGTCCCTCAGTGGCCTGCGGGTAAAAGGGGGCTCTGCCCTGGGCACCAAAACAGCCCAGGCCAAGGCAACTCGAACACTGGCCAAAGCTGCCCGTGCCCAGGCCAAGGTGGCTCGAACACTGCCTAAGACTGCCTCAGGTAAGGTGGTTCATGCACAGACCAAGGTGGCCAAGGTCCGGGCCAAAGCTAAGGTGGCACGGGCCAGGGCCAAGGCCAAGGCCGCAAAAATCAAGGCCAAGGCCAAGACAGTGCAGGCCAAGGCCAAAGCAGTGCAGGCCAAGGCCAAAGCAGTGCAGGCCAAGGCCAAGGCTGCGGGGATCAAGGCCAAAGCAGCACAGGCCAGGGCCAAGGCCAAGGCAGTGAGGATCAAGGCCAAGGTGCCACGGGCCAAGGTGCCACGGGCCAAGGCAAAGGTGGCACAGGCCAAGGTCAAGGCAGTGCGGATCAAAACCAAGGCAAAGGTCACTCAGATCCAGCCTGGGGGCAGAGGCAAGCCCAAGGGGGCTCAGACTGCAAGGGGGGTCCGGAAAAGCTGTTCTGAGACTGTGGGGCAGAAGAGAAAAAGGGCCGAGGAGACAAAGGCACTTCCTCCCCGGAAGAGAACACGGCTTGGGCCCCGATCCCCTAAGGTACGCCTAGGGCCTGGTGTGGCAAAGCTGCTAAAATTCCGGGCCATCAAGGTAGATCGACGGTTCTCAGATGATGAGGTGCGGCAGTGGGCTCAACAGATCCTCCATGTGAACCTGTCCCCGGTGATACAGCTCCAGCCACTGCTGCCATACTCTGCACCCTGACTCCTTCACAACAATGTTTAAGGAGACTGAGCTCAGACACCTGTGTGGCCAGCGGCACAGTGTGCAATGCCCGTAGACTCCACAACCCTGAGGACTCCGGGTGCCTCTTTAGGGCCCTGGCGGCCAGCGGCGTCCTT